GACCTGTTATTCAAAGTCACTAGATATATACATCTCCTGTGATCTTGCAATTCAGTAAAATTGAGAAAAAACAAGCTTTAACACTAAACGCTTAAAAGATCATTAAAATATAAATCTCCTGATATTTTATATTTGGTCAAGGTCATTGATTTGGAGCAACACATTATCAAGGCTTACTTCTTGCTAAATAGTATCTACTGTGACCTTAGGTTTTTTAGTAGTACTTTAAAAGTTATTTACAAATTTAACTCCTGTGGCCTTGAATGTGGGTCAAAGTAATTTTTTGAAACAAACTTGATAATCCTCTATCCAAGCATGCTGAAGACTAATTATCATGATCCTAAGACTACTGGTTTGTGTAAGGTTTTTAAAACATTTGTCTTGATTTAAACATATTCTATTGTAAATATTTACAAAAGAATTGGACACAAGTTTTATAACTTATCACAGTCTTTTTCTTCAAAATACATGCATATAAACAATTACTCCATATGGCAATTTACGCAAAATATATAAATTATACCGGCATTTTTATATGGAAATAGTTAGGTGGGAGAAAGAAGAGAAGGAGAGAGACACGAGGAGGGAAAAGTAAGACAGGTAGAGTCAGAGAGCAAATAAGTGAGAAAGAGAAAGGAAGATGATCACATTTGACCCATTTAACCTTGAAAGTGTGTCTGTGTCATTCATTTGAAACAAGAGGCCCAATGGGCCTGCATCGCTCACCTGGTATTAATCTCACACTTGTAATCTTAATAGCGGACTAAATAACAGCTACAGGCAGAATATCAGTGTTTGATTCATAAGAACCTATTTAAAGATTTAAACATATGACGCCTCTGAACTTGAATAAGGACATTAGGTTGAAAGTGGGAAAAGATCATTCATTTGAAAAAACTTGGTAGCCCTTCATCCAAGCATGCTACAGGCCCAATTTCAGTACCCTTGGCCTTTTGGTTATTGAGAAAAGGTTGTTTGAAGATTTTAAGACATTTGACCCATGTGACCTTGAAAGTGGGTCAAGGTCATTCAATCGAACAAACTTGGTAGCCCTTCATCCCAGCATGCTACAGGCCCAATATCAGTACCCTCGGCCTTTTGGTTATTGAGAAGAAGTCGTATGAAGATTTTACGACATTTGACCCCTGTGACCTTGGAAGTGGGTCAGGGTTATTCATTTGAACAAACTTGTTAGCCCTTCATCCCAGCATGCTACTGGCCAAATATCATCAGCCTGGGCCTCTTGGTTATTGAGAAGAATGTGTTTAAAGTAAAAAGTTGACGCCAAGCCGCGGCATAAGCTCACTTGGCCCTTCGGGCCAGGTGAGCTAAAAAAATGATAGCCCTCCATTCCAGCAATTACTACAGAATAAATTTCCCCACAAGCGGGTATATCTTAGTACACAATACACAGGTATATCTACCTACAATACAGGTATGTCTTATTACCCAATACAGGGGTATATCTACCCACAGTACAGGTATGTCTTATTACCCAATACACAGGTATATCTACCGACAGTACAGATATGTGTTATTACCCAATACACAGGTATATCTACCGACAGCACAGATATGTCTTATTACCCAATACACAGGTATATCTACCCACAGTACAGGTATGTCTTGTCATCCAAAACACAGGTATATCTACCCATAGTACAGTTATGACTTATTACCCAATACACAGGTATATCTACCCACAGTACAGATATGTCTTATTACCCAATACACAGGTATATCTACCCACAGTAAAAGTATGTCTTATTACCCAATACACAGGTATATCTACCTACAGTACAGGTATGTCTTGTCACCCAAAACACAGGTATATCTACCCACAGTACAGGTATGTCTTATTACCCATTACACAGGTATATCGACCCACAGTACAGGTATGTCTTATTACCCAATACACAGGTATATCGACCCACAGTACAGGTATGTCTTATTACCCAATACACAGGTATATCTACCCATATTACAGGTATGTCTTATTACCCAATACACAGGAATACACATACATTTTAGACAATACACGCCAAGTATGTAAATGCTATGGTTTTTAAACACACACACTCCACTGACCTACTTTACTATGGATTTCTTTATAATCACTGTATGTCTGTCGGTAACCTCGCTCAACAGGGAAGTTATTTACTATGTACAACTGCAGGTTGAAACAGGTAGATCTATGCATTGCCGCAGTGATGGGCGTACCTAGAGCAGAAATTTGTTGATATTACTGAACTAGTCAGCAGTATTGTCAAATTCAGCCGAACTTTTGACTTTAAGTTTAGATCAAACTTTTACATTGTCAGCAGGAAAGTGACAGATTTATCAGCAGCAAAGCTAGAGGGAAGTTCATCATGTGATTGTGAATTCCAGGGCTGGATAAATACGGACAATGTAAGTGAACATTGAGATGTGTGGAATGGAAAACTTAGATTCATCATCACAGTGAGGTAGCTATTCTACAGTGTTTTTACATTGCTATAAGTTTAACAAACATATGCTACTGGATGGGACAGTTATAAGTCAAGTTTTCATTTCTTTACATGACAAACTCTTATTTGTGAGTGTTTACTGATAACAATATATTAATACAAGAGCAACAAACAATCTTCAAGACTTCAACAAATAATCTAGCTTTTCATCAAAATGGCAACCCCTATAAGCCAAATTCCTCTCCGTATCAAAGGTCAAACGACATGTATACACCACAAAGGGAGACAGCTAGAATTTTATTGTGAAAAATGTCAGGAACTTGTTTGTCCAAAATGCCTTTCTTCTATACACAAAGCCCATCCAGTTAGTGAGCTAAGTGAAATCACTCCTCAGAAAGAACCGGACATTAAAAACTTTATAGACAGAACAGAAAAAAATGACCTTGTACAAATTGGAAAATACATCACCACTACCGATACCCTGCTTAAAGACAACACCAGTACTTTTGAGAAGCTGTCACAAAAGTTAAAAATGCAAACGGATAAATTAAAACAAAAGTTGGACATGCTAACAGCACAGACACTCTCTCTATATCACAAAATGGAAGAAGATAATACAAAACTGATAAAGAAATACAAACAGGACCTGGAGATGTACGAGAAGCAACTCAAACAACAAATACAAGAATGTAAAGCAGCTCTCCAGCGTAGTTCGCACATACAGATTTATGATACATATTGTGAGATTCATTCTCCTACATACAGTCTCCCTGTAAAACCTGTCCTGGGTACTGCCAACTTCACTCCAAACGAAAGTCCTCAAGATAACTTGAAAAAAGCCTTGGGAAAAGTTATAACCTCAGGTCAAGGTCAAACTTTAACTGACCAGGATCGGTCAGTCTCAACATCTGATGATCTGGGACAACCCTCTACACAACAACAACGGTCAGAAACAAAAGTGAAGAAAGCAGTGACAACATGCAAACTACTGCCACAGACCAAGGTAGTGGAGGAGTTGGGGTCTCCATGTTACATTGATTCTACATGTCCCACTACTGATGGTCAGGTGTGGACCAGTTTCTGGAACAGTCGCACATTAACTCTCCTGGACAGGAAGGGGATAGCAATACAGGAGGTCAACCACAATGCTGGGATCTATGACATCAGTCTGTCACCCACCACACACACACTGTGGGTCTGTGACAGAGACAACCACATCATGGAGCTGGTATCAGGACGCCTGACACAGAGATTCAGTACCAAGAAGGTCCCCTCATGTATATGTGTTACAGCCAGTAACCATGTCATTGTAGGGATGACCAAACACATCTCCAAATTTACCACAGATGGTAAAATGGTGTGTACTACAATGGTGAAAGGGACTGGGAAACCATTAGTGTGTACACCAGACAGGATCTCAGAGTGTCCTGTCACTCACAATGTGCCAGTCACTGATTTCAATAGTGAAAGTGATGGTGGTGATGGAAACAAACATGTTGTTGTGATGGACACTGATTTCAAGGAGCTGTTTGTATATAGAGGTGCCATCCCCAGTACATATAGACCAACACCACAAACAGGAGGTATACCATTTTACCCCCGTGGTGTGGAGTATGACAGTGTGGGGAACCTGATCATAGGGGACGGTAACAACAAAAGGGTCCTACTCATCAGTGGAGGTGGTGAGTTCCTCAGGGTCATATACACAGACACAGTCTCTACATGGGCTGTAGGTATAGACAGGGAGGATGTCCTGTGGGCAGTGTTTGGGTCAATGTTTTTGGGTAAGAAAGTCAAACTACTACAGTACAGCAGTGTGTGACACCTGTAACCAAACAACTAGTATATCTAGTTACCATGACAATGACATGGAAATCAAAGACGAAGTCAACTTATCATGTTTACCAATCAGCTAACGGTGTGTGGCATTCACAGGATTATAAGTCAAATGTCTAGACTACAGATTGTGTGACATTCACATGATTATAAGTAAAATGTCCAGACTACAAATTGTGTGACATTCACAGGATTTTTAAGATTTTTAGTAAATTGTCCGGACTACAAATTGTATGACATTCACAGGATTATAAGTAAATTGTCCAGACTACAAATTGTGTGACATTCACAGGATTTTTAGTAAAGTGTCTAGACTACAAATTGTGTGACATTCACAGGAATATAAGTAAAATGTCCAGACTACAGATTGTGTGCCATTCACAGGAATATAAGTAGAATGTCCAGACTACAGATTGTGTGACATGCACACGATTATAAGTAAAATGTCCAGATTACAGATTGTGTGACATTTACATGGTTATAAGTAAAATGTCTAGCCTATTGTCAGATTGTGTGACATTAACAGGAATATAAGTAAAATGTCTAGACTATTGTCAGATTGTGTGACATTAACAGGAATATAAGTAAAATGTCCAGACTACAGATTGTGTGACATGCACACGATTATAAGTAAAATGTCCAGATTACAGATTGTGGGACATTTACATGGTTATAAGTAAAATGTCTAGACTATTGTCAGATTGTGTGACATTCACAGGAATATAAGTAAAATGTCTAGACTACAGATTGTGTGACATTCACAGGATTATAAGTAAAATGTCCAGATTACAGATTGTGGGACATTTACATGGTTATAAGTAAAATGTCTAGACTACAGATTGTGTGACATTCACAGGAATATAAGTAAAATGTCTAGACTACAGATTGTGTGACATTCACAGGATTATAAGTAAAATGTCCAGATTACAGATTGTGGGACATTTACAAGATTATAAGTAAAATGTCCAGACATAAGTAAAATATCTAGACTTCAGATTGTGAGACATTCACAGGATTATAATTTTGAGACCAAATAGCCTTTACAACTCTGTAGCCATTACTATCTAGGACACAGTGGAGCCAGCCCCAAACTAAGAAATAATGGTAACAAAGCCAGCAAATGTATCGCTAGTCGTGGTCCAGGTACCCCTAGTCGTGGTCCAGGTACCGCTAGTCGTGGTCCAGGTATGGCTAGTCGTTGTCCAGGTACCGCTAAACGTGGTCCAGGTACGGCTAGTCGTGGTCAAGGTACCGCTAGTCGTGGTCCAGGTACGGCTAGTCGTGGTCTAGGTACGGCTAGTCGTGGTCAAGGTACGGCTAGTCGTGGTCCAGGTACGGCTAGTCGTGGTCCAGGTACCGCTAGTCGTGGTCAAGGTACCGCTAGTCGTGGTCTAGGTACCGCTAGTCGTGGTCTAGGTACCGCTTGTCGTGGTCTAGGTACCGCTAGTCGTGGTCCAGGTACCGCTAGTCGTGGTCCAGGTACCGCTAGTCGTGGTCCAGGTACCGCTAGTCGTGGTCTAGGTCCTGCTAGTCGTTGTCAAGGCAATGTCAGAAGGGGTAATGTCGGTCCTGGCCATCATCTTAATTCATAGGACAATGTGGAGTGTGGGGACATGCCCCAGAATCTCAAAGTTCTATCATGAAAAATAAATGGTGGACTTTATACATGGTAATAAGCTAAAATAAGCAAATTCGTGGAATGTATATCCCCCACTTGCAAGACATATTGTAGGTAAACATTATTGAGGTTAAGTTTAAACATGTGAGTATCATGCTGTTGAGACATAATGTATAGCTTGAAACTCGAAATAAAAAAAAGCCTTATACCTCATTAATTTTCTGGATGTGCATACAGAATTTGGTTGAATATCTGCACAATATCTACAGAATGCAATGTGTGATATGGAAAACCACTTGTGTACTTTGTAAGCTCACTCTCCACTTCATCAATTTAAATTTGTATAATAATCCCTTGTACATGTATTACATGAGCATGTAATTGTTTGACATTTAACCTATGAGTCGGATAGCTCTCGGAAATAAAGAAACTGAACTGAAACAGAGGCTGTACCATTGTTCACAACTAACAGTGTACATTTCCTTCGTTGATGTACAGTGCTGTTTTGTGTAGGCTTGTGTGTGGCAAAGGGTTAAACACAATCTGTACTGACCTACTTCACTATCTATGTAAGTTATAATCAGTGTAAGTCTGTCGGTTACCTGTCGCTCCACAGGGAAGTTATTTACTATGTACAACAGGGAAGTTATTTACTAGATCTATGCAATGCAGCAGTGATGGGCGTATCCAACCTACTTTGAGTGAATCTATAAAGGCCTAAATATTTACCATTTTAAGTCCACCATCAATGTAGTCCTGAGTTAAGATACCCTTTTTAATTTTATCTATTTTACTATTCCATAAAAACTCCTATAGTAAACAGTTAAGTTTAGAAAGAAATTTTTCATCTGGATTTGGCAGTGAGATAAACAGATGATTAAACTGTGAAATAAGTAATGACTTAATTATGTGGATTTTACCAATTGGAGTTAATATTCTTCTATTCCATGATCTGATGAGTGATTTAAGTTTTGTTATTTTTTTATCAAAGTTCAACTTGGGTATCTTATGCAAGTTTACATGAAATTCAATCCCAAGAAGTGTGAAATTTTCTCTACCTCACTGTAAATTTAGTTTTGGAAGGAATTTCTCTGAGCTACACTTCTTGCTACCAATCCATACCACTTGAGTTTTTGAAATATTCATTTTTAATCCTGATATATTAGCATAAGAGTTAAGTTCTTTAATAGATTCTATAAGTGACCGTTCTGTGCCATCTAGTGCAAGTGATGTATCATCAGCATATTGAGACAAAAGTATCGGACTATTTTATGTCTCAATAAATACAATTGAACCTTCAAGAGAAACAAGAGGCGTAATGGGCTGTATCCCTGACCTGTTATTCAAAGTCACTAGATATATACATCTCCTGTGATCTTGCAATTCAGTAAAATTGAGAAAAAACAAGCTTTAACACTAAACGCTTAAAAGATCATTAAAATATAAATCTCCTGATATTTTATATTTGGTCAAGGTCATTTATTTGGAGCAACACATTATCAAGGCTTACTTCTTGCTAAATAGTATCTACTGTGACCTTAGGTTTTTTAGTAGTACTTTAATAATTATTTACAAATTTAACTCCTGTGGCCTTGAATGTGGGTCAAAGTAATTTTTTGAAACAAACTTGATAATCCTCCATCCAAGCATGCTGAAGACTAATTATCATGATCCTAAGACTACTGGTTTGTGTAAGGTTTTTAAAACATTTGTCTTGATTTAAACATATTCTATTGTAAATATTTACAAAAGAATTGGACAAAAGTTTTACAACTTATCACAGTCCTTTTCTTCAAAATACATGCACATAAACAATTACTCCATAAGGTAATTTACGCAATATATATATATAAATTATACCGGCATTTTTATATGGAAATAGTGAGGTGGGAGGAAGAAGAGAAGGAGAGAGACACGAGGAGGGAAAAGTAAAACAGGTAGAGTCAGAGAGAAATTAAGTGAGAAAGAGAAAGGAAGATGATCACATTTAACCCATGTAACCTTGAAAGTGTGTCTGTGTCATTCATTTGAAAAACATGATAGCCCTCAACTCCAGCAACTACTACAGAATAAATTTCCCCCAAGCGGGTATATCTTAGTACCCAATACACAGGTATATCTACCTACAGTACAGGTATGTCTTAGTACCCAATACACAGGTATATATACCTACAGTACAGGTATGGCTTATTACCCAATACACAGGTATATTTCCCTACAGTACAGGTATGGCTTATTACCCAATACACAGGGATATCTACCCATAGTACAAGTATGTCTTATTACCCAACACACAGGTATATGTACCCACAGTACAGGTATGTCTTCTTACCCAATACACAGGTATATATACCTACAGTACAGGTATGTCTTATTACCCAATACACAGGTATATCTACCCATAGTACATGTATGTCTTATTATCCAATACACAGGTATTACTGAATACACATACATTTTAGACGATACACACCAGGTGTGTAAATGCTAAGGTTTTTAAACACACACTCCACTGACCTACTTTTCTATCGATTTCTTTATAATCACTGTATGTCTGTCGGTAGCCTCGCTCAACAGGGAAGTTATTTACTATGTACAACTGCAGGTTTAAACAAGTAGATCTACGCATTGCTGCAGTGATGGGCGTACCTAGAGCAGAAATTTGTTGATATTACTAACTAGTCAGCAGCATTGTCAAATTTAGCCGAACATTTTACTTTTTAAGTTTTGATCGAAAATGCCAGCAGGAAAGTATGTGACAGATTTATCAGCCAAGCTACAGGTCATCATGTGATTGTGAATTCTAGGGCTGAGAAATATGGACAAATGAAAGTGATTATTCGGAGGTATAGAATGGAAAACTTGGATTCATCATCACAGTAACCCTTGACATCAGTGATCGTGAGGTAGTTATTCTTTAGTGTTTTTTTTTACATTACTAAATGTTTAACAAACATATACTACTGGATGGGACAGCAAAATCAAGTTTTCATTTCTTTACATAACAAACTCTTATTTGTGAGTGTTTACTGATAACAACATATTTATACAAGAACAAAAAACATCTTCAAGGCTTCAACAAATAACTAAGCGTTCTGTCTAAATGGCAACCCCTATAAGCCAAATGCCTCTCCGTATCAAAGGTCTAACGACATGTATACACCACAAGGGGAGACAACTAGAATTTTATCGTGAAAAATGTCGGGAACTTGTTTGTCCAAAATGCCTTTCTTCTATTCACAAAATCCATCCAGTTTGTGAGCTAAGTGAAATCACTCCTCAGAAAGAACCAGACATTAAAAACTTCATAGACAGGACAGAAAAAAATGACCTTGTACAAATTGGAAAATACATCACCACTACCGATACCCTGCTTAAAGACAACACCAGTACTTTTGAGAATCTGTCACAAAAGTTAACAATGCAAACAGATAAATTAAAACAAGAGCTGGACATGCTAACAGCACAGACACTTTCTCTTTACCACAAAATGGAAGAGGATAATACGAAACTGATAAAGAAATACAAACAGGACCTGGAGATGTACGAGAAGCAACTCAAACAACAAATTCAAGAATGTAAAGCAGCTCTCCAGCGTGGTTCACACTTACAGATTTATGATACATATTGTGAGATCCATTCTCCTACATACAGTCTCCCTGTAAAACCTGTCCTGGGTACTGCCAAATTCACTCCAAATGAAAGTCCTCAAGATCTTTTAAAAAAAGCCTTGGGAAAAGTCATCACCTCAGGTCAAGGTCAAACGTTCACCGACCAGGATCGGTCAGTCTCAACGTCTGATGATCTGGGACAACCCTCTACACAACAACAACGGTCAGAAACAAAAGTGAAGAAAGCAGTGACAACATACAAACTACTGCCACAGACCAAGGTAGTGGAGGAGTGGGGGTCTCCATTTTACATTCATTCTATATGTCCCACCACTGATGGTCAGGTGTGGACCAGTTACTTGAACAGTGACACATTAACTCTCCTGGACAGGAAGGGGATAGCAATACAGAAGGTCAAACACAATGTCAGGATCATTGACATCAGTCTGTCACCCACCACACACACACTGTGGGTCTGTGACAGAGACAACCACATCATGGAGCTGGTATCAGGACGCCTGACACAGAGATTCAGTACCAAGAAGGTACCCTCATGTATATGTGTTACAGCCAGTAACCATGTCATTGTAGGGATGACCAAACACATCTCCAAATTTACCACAGATGGTAAAATGGTGTGTACTACAATGGTGAAAGGGACGGGGAAACCATTAGTGTGTACACCAGACAGGATCTCAGAGTGTCCTGTCACTCACAATGTGGCAGTCGCTGATTTCAATAGTGAAAGTGATGGTGGTGATGGAAACAAACATGTTGTTGTGATGGACACTGATTTCAAGGAGCTGTTTGTATATAGAGGTGACATCCCCAGTACATATAGACCAACACCACAAACAGGAGGTGGACTATTTAACCCCCATGGTGTGGTGTATGACAGTGTGGGGAACCTGATCATAGGGGACTGGGACAACAAAAGGGTCCTACTCATCAGTGGAGGTGGTGAGTTCCTCAGGGTCATAGACACAGACACAGTCTATACATGGGCTGTAGGTATAGACAGGGAGGATGTCCTGTGGGCAGTGTTTTGGTCATTGTTTGGGGGTAACAAAGTCAAACTACTACAGTACAGCAGTGTGTGACACCTGTAACCAAACAACTAGTATATCTAGTTACCATGGCAATGACATAGAAATCAGAGACAAAGGAAACTTATCATGATTACCAATCAGCTAACAGTGTGTGGCATTCACAGGATTATAAGCAAAAACTCTAGACTACAGATTGTGTGACATTCACAGGAATATAAGTAAAATGTCTAGAATACAGATTGTGTGACATTCACAAGATTATTAGTAAAATGTCCAGATTACAGATTGTGTGACATTTACATGGTTATAAGTAAAATGTCTAGACTACAGATTGTGTGACATTCACAAGATTATAAGTAAAATGTCCAGATTACAGATTGTGTGACATTTACATGGTTATAAGTAAAATGTCTAGACTACAGATTGTGTGACATTCACAAGATTATAAGTAAAATGTCCAGATTACAGATTGTGGGACATTTACAAGATTATAAGTAAAATGTCCAGACATAAGTAAAATATCTAGACTACAGATAGTGAGACATTCACAGGATTATAATTTTGAGACCAAACAGCCTTTACAAATCTGTAGCCATTACTATCTAGCTAGGACACTGGTGGAGCCAGCCCAAAACTAAGAAATTATGGTAACAAAGCCAGCAAATGTACCGCTAGTCATGGTCCAGGTACCGCTAGTCGTGGTCAAGGTACTGCTAGTCGTGGTCCAGGTACACCTAGTCGTGGTCCAGGTACTACTAGTCGTGGTCAAGGTACCGCTAGTCGTGGTCCAGGTACCGCTAGTCGTGGTCCAGGTACTACTAGTAGTGGTCAAGGTACCGCTAGTCGTGGTCCAGGTACCACTTGTCGTGGTCAAGGTACCGCTAGTCATGATCCAGGTACCGCTAGTCGTGGTCCAGGTACCACTAGTCGTGGTCAAGGTACCGCTAGTCGTGGTCCAGGTACCGCTAGTCGTGGTCCAGGTACAGCTAGTTGTGGTCTAGGTACCGTAAGTCGTGGTCCAGGTACCGCTAGTTGTGGTCCAGGTACCACTAGTCATGGTCTAGGTACAGATAGTCATGGTCTAGGTACAGATAGTTATGGGCTAGGTACAATTAGTCATGGTCTAGGTACAGATAGTCATGATCCAGGTACAGATAGTCATGGTTTAGGTACAGATAGTCATGGTCTAGGTACAGATAGTCATGGGCTAGGGACAGATAGTCATGGTCTAGGTACAATTAGTCATTGTCTAGGTACAGATAGTCATGGTCTAGGTACCACTAGTCGTGGTCTAGGTACAGATAGTCATGGGCTAGGGACAGATAGTCATGGTCTAGGTACAATTAGTCATGGTCTAGGAACAGCTAGTTGTGGTCCAGGTACGGCTAGTCGTGTCCAGGTACCGCTAGTCGTGGTCTAGGTACCGTTAGCCTTGGTCCAGGTTCCACTAGTAGTGGTCTAGGTACCGCTAGTTGTAGTCTAGGTACTGCTAGTCGTGGTCTAGGTACAGATAGTCATGGTCTAGGTACCACTAGTCATGGTCTAGGTACCGATAGTCATGGTTTAGGTATAGATAGTTATGGTCTAGGTACAATTAGTCAGGGTCTAGGTACAGAAAGTCATGGGCTAGGTACATATAGTCATGGTCTAGGTACCGATAGCCATGGTTTAGGTATAGATAGTCACGGTCTAGGTACAATTAGTCATGGTCTCGGTACAGATAGTCATGGTCCAGGCACCGCTAGTCGTGGTCCAGGTACCGCTAGTCGTGGTCTAGGTACCGTTAGCCTTGGTCCAGGTTCCACTAGTAGTGGTCTAGGTACCGCTAGTTGCAGTCTAGGTACTGCTAGTCGTGGTCTAGGCACAGATAGTCATGGTCTAGATACAGTTAGTCATGGTCTAGGTACAGATAGTTATGGTCTAGGTACAATTAGTCATGGTCTAGGAACAGATAGTCATGGTTTAGGTATAGATAGTCATGGTCTAGGTACCACTAGTCATGGTCTATGTACCGATAGTCATGGTTTAGGTATAGATAGTCATGGTCTAGGCACAGATCGTCATGGTCTAGGTACAACTCATCATGGTCTAGGTACAGATAGTTGTGGTCTAGGTACAGATAGTTATGGGCTAGGTACAATTAGTCATGGTCTCGGTACAGATAGTCATGGTCCAGGTACCGCTAGTTGTGGTCCAGGTACGGCTAGACGTGGCCAGGGACCGCTAGTCGCGGTCTAGGTACGTTAGTCTTGGTCCAGGTACCGTTAGTCTTGGTCCAGGTACCGCTAGTTGTGGTCCAGGTACGGCTAGTCGTGTCCAGGGACCGCTAGTCGTGGTCCAGGTACCGCTAGTCGTGGTCCAGATACCGCTAGTTGTGGTCCAGGTACGGCTAGTCGTGTCCAGGTACAGCTAGTTGTGGTCCAGGTACGGCTAGTCGTGTCCAGGTACCGCTAGTCGCGGTCTAGGTACGTTAGTCTTGGTCCAGGTACCGTTAGTCTTGGTCCAGGTACCGCTAGTTGTGGTCCAGGTACGGCTAGGCGTGTCCAGGTACCGCTAGTCGCGGTCTAGGTACGTTTGTCTTGGTCCAGGTACCGTTAGTCTTGGTCCAGGTACCGCTAGTCATGGTCCAGGTACGGCTAGTCGTGGTCCAGGTACCGCTAGTCGTGGTCCAGGTACGGCTAGTCTTGGTCCAGGTACCGCTAGTCATGGTCCAGGTACGGCTAGTCGTGGTCCAGGTCCTGCTCGTCGTTGTCAAGGCAATGTCAGATGGGTAATGTCGGTCCTGGCCATCATCTTAATTCATAGGACAATGTGGAGTGTGGGGACATGCCCCAGAATCTCAAAGTTATATCATGAAAAATAAATGGTGGACTTGATAATAAGCTAAAACAAGCAAATTCGAGGAATTTATATCCCCCGCTTGCAGGACATATTGTAGGTAAACATTATTGAGGTTAGGTTTAAACATGTGAGTATCATGCTGTTGAGACATAATGTATAGCTTGAAACTTGAAGGAAAAAAAAGCCTTATACCTCATTAATTATCCGGATGTGCATACAGAATTTGGTTGAATATCTGCACAATATCTACAGCAATTATCAAACAAACCCCAAAGAGTGCCCGAGATGGGTGGAAAGACAGAGAAACAAAAACATTGTTATCAAGTTTGAAGGAATTTGGCTAATATTTTTTGTTAATCAAGGGGCCATAACTCCGCCAAATGGAGTCCAATTAAAGTGGTTGTCAAAGTTGGCCAAGCCTGTAATGCCTTGAAACCTGTTACTAAGTTTGAAGACAATCGGATAATATTTGCGAGGGTTAATGAACAGAAACGGCAGATGACATTTTTCGTTATTCAAGGGGCCATAACTCCATCAAATAAAGTCCGTTGAAAGTGGTCATTGAACTTGGTCAAGTTCTTAAGGCATTTAATCCTATTACCAAGTTTGAAGAAAATCTGTTAATATTTGTTGCAGTTATTGCACGGAAAGGGCAGATAATGACGTTTTTCGTTATTCAAGGGGCCATAACTCCGCCAAATAAAGTCCGCTGAAAGTGGTAAAACAGACAAACAGTCAGACAGACAGTGAAAGTGGGGGATAATAAAAAAGTTTTTTTCAATTATATCAAGACGTACAATTATTCTTTAACAATTGAAGGTTTTTCATGTTATATTTACCCTAGATTACTAGGTATAAGATCACAAGGTGGTGGGATTGTTATCCTAATTAAAAAAGTGCTTGTAAATTATGTATCTATAATTGAAACAATATATGATTCAACCATATGGTTAAAGGTATCGAAAACCCTTATTGATAACCACAATGATTTAGAGATATATATAGCATGTTTGTATATGCTGCCTTCTAGTTCTGTATAATTTGAATTTATTTTATTTAAGTTTATACAAATACATTTCTAAGGTATTCTATCTCCTGGACCTCCAGAGTTAGGATGCATAATTTGTTGTAAATTGTTAGTTCATTACTGTATTACAAATGTATTAAATTTTGTGTGTTGATGTTGTTTACATATACTTTTTATTTTTTATGTATTCTAGTAGTAGATGATGTGAATTTATAATGTGAAGGTATGTGTTTAAATCATAAGATCAATTGAATTTTAAGTAGGTTATGTCATTACTTGATTACCACGTAATAAGTTGCATAAGGTTAGAGATGAGGTCATCATACTAATTATTTATAGACATCACATGACCATTAACGACCAATGGTCAGTTAGTTATGTGACGCTAAGCATCAGTTTACACAACAAGAGGCCCAGACAGCCTGTATCGCTCACCTGACTATATTTAAAATAATTGGTAGGTGCTGTAAATACATATAAAATTTCAGAAAAAAACATCCAGTACTTCAGATATAACAAATTTCAAACCCACCATTTATACAAAATTGAGTCCCCTTGGCCAAAGGATGCTCCAGACCAAATAAAGATAAAATCCCTTAATCCCTACGGTAGGAGAAGGTTTTTGAAGGTTTTACCTCTATTTCCCCTATTCGGCCCCGGCCCTCCGCCCCAAGGGGGGCCACACACACCATTTATACAAAATTGTGTCCCCTTGGTCCAAGGATACTCCAGACCAGAGAACTGGGTCCGATAAGGGAATCAAACACTGGCCGTCTTATTGACAATGTTCTATCCATAGTACCACCTGACCACGTAAATATTTTTTCAACAATCTTGTGCAAACAAGGGATGGTTAGATATTTGTGTGAGATTCAGTCACATGACACAAGGATTAAGTCATGTGACCACATCAGGATGTTACACTGACACTTCACTTAATCTTGTGCACCTATCTAGCCCTAACAAGGGATGATTAGATACTTGTGTGAGATTCAGTCACATGACACAAGGATTAAGTCATGTGACCACATCAGGATGTTACACGGACCTTTATCTGCGTCTGTTTTCTCGCTGCTGTTTGAGCCCATGGACAGGGTTCGGAACTGTGGAGCGGTGTAGAGACTCTGGGAGTACAATACCATCAGCATCCTCCAACTCTGGGCCACCTTCGTATATAGAAATAACACTTTAAGTCAAAATAATCGTATTTTCCCAAAAAAGGAAAAACACTCTTTTCCTTTACAGTACATATTTCACTTAATGTCACATCAATTAATGGCACATTTTGGTTAATATCATGTTTTCATATGACAATTGAGAAATGATATTAAGAATCCCTGTCCCACTGCACGGTTGTTTATCATATATACAATAACCTCCCCTTAACTTCAGTTTGGGTACATTTCCATTTACAAGGGTAGCTGAGTTGGTTAGAATGAGTTTATCACAATCTGAAGTCCAGGTTTCGAATCCCGGTCTATAGGTCTGCAGAATTTTACTTTCAGTGCATAATAATTCATTATATTTTGTTTAAAATTTCTGAGATTCATCTTTATTATTTTTTCGTAGAAGTCCCACAAGGTATGGTTCTCTTTGCAGAACTGATTTTTCAAAGCTATAGACATGCCTGAATAAACAGTTTCCGATACATAGTAACAGTTTTCGTCAGTGGTACGGGGATCTTTAATCAGAACTCACTGTATCAATAAAACAAGGAATTATCACCTAAGTATACTGTAAACATACTAATTTTAGAGCGCTCTGACAACAACAGACTGGTATAGGTCACATTTTTCGCAGGTAATAAAAGACCTCACCTGGTAACGACCTTGGCTCTCGGCCACTTGAGCATTTTGTTCACAAAGCTTGTCAAGTGAAAATCCTTTCAGGAGATAGCGTTGGGCGGAGTCTCGAAACCAGTCCATGGACAGCGAGGTCTGAAAATTTATAATAGACAAAGTTTGTAATGTCTTTTAATAAACTCATCAGACCTGTACAGGTGATAATGTTATTGATTTCCACTCTGATATAAAACCAGAAATGAATTTTAAACCCCGCTCAGAGGTTCCACACATGAAACAATGAAGTCTACCAGGAATACTATTCCTGACAAACTTTTTTTTATTTGTCTAATTCTTCTGATTTATTTTGATATCACGCTATAGTTTTTAATTTAACACTGCTATTTGTTCTAAACAGACAATGGTTTTATTTTCAACAGACAATGTTTTGTCATATAATGTTTTAAAAGAGACATTTTTTTAAAAGAAGGATTCACAGTCAAAAGACTCTTCACAGCACAATGGACAAAATTGTTTATTGATACTCTGACAGCCATTGTTGATTTTAAGCGTTTTTTATTTTAAAACACTTTGACAAATTTAACACATACAGTAATTAAATTAAATTAAAATGTGTCTGATATCTGTGAAAATGAACCATTCATCTAATTTTGTTGTGAAAGTACGGCAGTGTCAATCATTATTGGGCAAGATTGATATCCAAGTCATCTCGATATCCAGGGGTTACGCTCAATTAAGTGAAGCGCTTCCATGTGTTAAATGTATGCGTGTGTCATGGGGACATGTTACTGGTGTAAATATCTCCTTGTAATAGCATGGATTGAATGCCGATTTTAGAGTGCTACCTCATTACAATGCCATGCCTCAGGTGAGTACGTAGCACAAGTGTCAACATAGTCATATTGTACTAACAACGAGTACATCAGTCAATATCGCTATCAATGTAAAGCTAGCTTCAAGCGCAGACCAGTAAGCTAATTTCAAGGTCTTTGGTTTGGTTTGGTTTGGCCAATTAACAGGACCCATAATCTTCCTCTCTTGGCTAAATGCAGGGTTTTCAAGAAAGCCGTTAGGAGAAATACCAGGTAATAGATACATGTAGAAAAGAAAATATTAAAAAAAAAAAACGTTGCGATTGGTACAGCAGATTCCGTGTGGTCTTTTCTCTGTCACCGACGGGAGGGAACAATTATAAATACTCATTACTACAGGGGGCTACCATATTAATCACCTCTTACGAATAATGCAGAGAAAAAAACATTTGGTCTGTTTGTGTGTTTATATATATATATATATATATACATTATAAACCATTATTACCTAGTGGTTTTGGTTTTCACTTTCACTCTCTGCACCCCTGGAATATGTCAAAGCAAAATTGAAGGCATACAGCTAGCTATTTGATTGGTGTCAGGTAAAAAAACCTGACCAATCGCTAGGCTGGCACTTGTCCTTTTAAGATTACAGAGGTGCGACGCCCGACTTCAAAGCCAGTAAGTGTTACCGTTACGCGACCACGAGATTCTTTTTATGTACATCAACAGATCAAACTAGTCTCCTTGTCTCATCCACAAGGTGGCGCACACTAAGCCTTCAATTTTGCTATGACATATATTCCAGGGGTGCAAAGAGCGTAAGTAAGAGTAACCCCTGGATATCGAGGATGATGTAAGCTCGACCTAGATTGTATGTCACATACCAAATTGATATATTAATTCAATAACAACATAATAGGAAAATGAACAATGGTGTGTCATATCAGGTCTTGCATCAATATTTTATGGCAATTCGCAATAAAATAAAATCACCGAACGAATTCATGCACCTAACATTACCTCATGTTTATTACAGTTGTGAACGTGCAGTGTGCTATACGCCTGTGTGAAATGATCGCTGCGGGACGGCTTCTTATGAAATATTGACAACTTCCCAGAGCTGTGTTTGTCTGAAATAAATAACAAAACAATTTTGAAAGAGCCTGCATGGACAACCCATACATAATAATTTTGTTTGGAGTCTTACTAGCTAAACCAACCAAAGAACGAGGAATTAATATAGTGTGCCATAGTTTGGTAAGAACAGGGAATTTATTTGTCTGACCTTCAACAATACATGAAGGCAGCGTTTACTATGCATTAAGTTTAAAATAACAAATGATTTATTTGTATGGCTCAAAACAAAATATGTGTAGAAAGAGTAAATTAGGAAAACAAGGAACTCATTAAATTGTGTGTTCTAGTATATACAATACCTGTAGATTGCAAGGGAAAATACCAGTTGATAAAGTATGTTAAACCCTTTCACCCTTATGTAACTTTAGTAGACTCTACCAAGCATTGATCTGGATGAGTCCATTATGGTCTGCAGTGGTGAAAGGGTTAACAGAAAACGAAATTAATATGGTGTGGCCTAATTTCTTAGATTTTTTTTTCAAAGCAAACGCAGAAACAAAATGATGTAACCAAGTGCAGTAAAATCAAATACATTTAAAAACAGACTCGATAAACATTGGATTGATCAGGCACTGAGATAATAGAGCTAACATACTTAGTAAAGACGTGATGCCTATAACTTAACCTTCATTTAGGTGTATGTACATGTATGTAACATTTGTTTAAACATGTTGGAGTCCGGTGCAGAGGACCATACAGATAATAACAATAAACTTCACTAAACTTAACCACCTTTGAATGGTATATTTTCCAACAAATCTGTGCTTCAGTGATACTTTATGTCAGGGTTTATTCTACAACTTTATTCTACAACTCTCTATAACTTGCAGGGACACATTCATTTTATGTCTATAGTACCGTAATTTAACACTTTTGAACATTAAGTGCAAATACCATTAAATATGATTTTCCTGTTAAAATATTGATTATTCATATCTGGTAATGATTGCAAATAGCATTAATTTTGATTAACTGTTGAAATAAGTATGTACACTTTGTGACCTAAAACCGATACCTCTCAGCGAATAACAGGGAATAATTAACTACGCCTGGCATCCTAAAATACCTCCTTTAGAGAGCAGAATATGTTGCAAAGAAAAACAAGAGGCCATTGGGCCTTAACGGTCACCTGATATATTTATACAGAGAGTTGATTTTGTTTTTAACACGAACAGAAATATTATTCAGTGACAAAAAACAATAAAACAACCTTATTCAATATCTAGCATACAGATTTAAGACTAAAAAGTATTTGAAACTAGCACCTCTGATTCTAAACAAGAAAAAATGAAGAAATTTTAGCACACTGACTCCTTTGGGCCCCACCCTTCAGCCCTTGGGGGTAGGGCTGGCTCAAAATTTTCAAAGTATCAAACTGTCAACTCAGGGTTATAATTCAAATCAAGTTATTAACATGTAATATTCAAAGTAGCATTTGCCATTATAAACCATAATAAATTTTGCCCCCCCACCTTCCTTCCCCAGGGGGTAAACGTGAGACCCTAGGGTCATAAACCTTAAGACCCTTCCATCTATGAAGAGTGTTTGATTCTACCATATCTGGGTCTTTGAGAAGATTTTATTTTGAAATTTCAGTCAATTCAACCCTTTTTGGCCCTATCCATCAGCCCTGGGGGGTCAGTCAGGGCTCATATGTGCATACCATCAAACTGCTACCCAATACTGATAATGCTAACCTAAATTTAATTACTTCCAATGAAAATTAAACAAATGTTGGTCCAAAATGTGATTTCCCTATATAAACTATAGTAAAATTTACATCCTTCCCAGGGGGAAACGTGATACCCAAGGGTCATGAAATTCACAATTTTGGTAGAGCACCTTAAGACCCTTCCATCTATGAAGAGTGTTTGATTCTACCATATCTGGGTCTTGAGAAGAAGATTTTTGAAATTTTAGTAAATTTGACCCTTTTTGGCCCCGCCCCTCAGGCCCCTGGGGGCCGGGGACCAAACTGGCAACTATTTTTGTTGACTTTTGGCCATGGAAGGTTTCTGCAAAATTTCATTGAAATTGGTTCAGGGGTTTTGGAGAAGAAGTTGAAAATGTAAATTGTTTACGAACGGACGACGGATGACGCACGACGTACGACGACAGACAAAAGGCGATCGCAATAGGTCACTTGAGACTTTGTCTCAGGTGAGCTAAAAATTGTTAATTTGATGTGCCCTTGTACAGAACCTGTGGATAGGGTACGCTCCCCGTGGGCATGGGACACCGTGTAGTCGAGGTTCATGTCGATTCCGGATGGCGTGACATGGTCGGCTGGACGTTTGGCATCTTTGAACACATGTTGGTATAAGGTACAATCCTTACTACAGCTGTAGAACATATGGGGGTCCTCCTTCTTCCAAACAATGTCTACAGTAACAAATGACGAGGTGGAATAATAAAGATATGGGTTAATGTATGAACTGAAAATACTGCCAAACATCAAAACATCGGCTACTGAACAAGTATTTACTTTTACAGGGAAATACTTTTTTTTGATAACCTAAAGATTTTGTCATTATATTAATATACAATCATGTTTCATGCTCCTAAAATATTCATGTGTTATGCAGTTTATTTTGCAGTTGTTTAAACCTTTTCCGTTTTTTTCTTTACAAATTATCATTGAACGAGTATTTTTCAATCAATATTTGAACATTTATATCGATATATCATTAAAAAAATATCAATACATGTTAAATGAGGATTGACAGAAGACATATCATATTTGTTTTCATATTGTTTGGATTTCTTTCACTGGGAATGATTTTGGCATATTTTCAAAATATTTTTTAAAAGATTACATGTCAAGATCAAAATAAGGTAGAATATGTCCTTTTTTTAATTTTAAATGTATTTATTTTTAAAGAACAGAGGTGGCATCCCAAACATATTTCTCTAACAGATACATATATATTTAACACTACATTTGACATAGACAATCAAGACTTTCACCAATGGCTGTGAACAGATCTTCTGCACACCGGGCAATGCTCACCGCAATTAAACTTTTATCTTTAATTTATTGCCCTCTATTTATCATTACAGTGAATTTTAGAACACAACATCCAATTTGTTCCCAGTTTACAGTAGAAAACTATTTTGTGAAGTAGGTGGGACTCAAATTGCTCCGACAACAGGAGTCCAAACCCATGAACGTGCTAACACATCATGGTTCAAACATTGTCACTGCATGTAGACCTCGTGACTTCTTATTGCCAGCAAGCCATTGGTTATATGTTTTTAAATTGTACTTTTTTTTATTTTAAAAATTTTACAAAAAATGTTCAACAAATGCTATCAACTTATATTAATCACTGTTGTTGGCCCAGATGGTAGCATGTAGGTCTTATTTTGGGAGGTAACTGGAGTACCCGGAGAAAACCTACATCATCGCCTGATCGGGCAGGTGACCCAATACCTTTTCACATCCGATCAGGAAATCAAACCCCCAGCAGCCTTGGTGAAAGTGTTATCAACTCTGCCATCCGACCACCAACTGGTTATATAACATGACTCTAGGCCTCTTTGTGTTTCATGAAATACAGTATGACCGTTTTTAAATATTTGACCCCTGAGCCCTCGAATACTTATCAAGGTCATTTCATTTCACTAGAGTTGTAGTACTCCAAATTAGCTAGCTTCTGGATGCATATATCCAGAATCCAGACACTTCTTTTGTCTTAAAAGAAGCTATTTAAGAGTTACAACAAATCTGACTCCTGTGATTTGAAAATAGGTCAAGGTCATTTATTTTCCCACACTTTGTAACTTTTTTTGTTAGGATACATCCTTTTCTGTGAGTTAATTTGTGTACCTGTGGTGACATCTTTGTGTTCCTCAAAGGAAGCAAAAGGTATGTAAGGGCGCTGGATGTTCCAGATGTTGATGCTGAAGTCGACGAGAAGGGAGGAGCTAGCAATGTGGTACCGCCTCTGAGGACGCCATCGTATCCGCATCACCGAGGCGACCGTGTGAATTGTATACAGTAGCTTATTCCTCTGGAGGTCCCACACCTGTAAAAGGTCAAAGTTCAATCAGTAAAATGATCCATGTCCAAGGGGTATCCCAGGATCAATAATTCTTTTAATCATCTATTTTTTTTTTATTCAAAACGAAAAATCTACAATAAGATTCATCAGTTAGGAAATATGTAATATCAAAGTTTTTGTTTTTACACAAACAATGTACATATTAAACGTGGCGCGACGTTTCAAGACCGACTGGTCCCTTTGTCAAGCTATGACTGAGTGCACCATTTGTATTTGTTTACCTGTACAACGATGTGATTTGACGATAGCTTGCCAAAGGGACTTGAAATGTTGCGACATGTTTGATATGTATATTGTTTGTGTAAAAAGGAAAACTTTGATTTAAGATCAAATACTTTTAGCCTTCTCTAGGACCTTTTTTTTTTGTGTCACATAATTACACTTTTTACCATAAAATATAATCAATAACATCTAAAAACTTAAATTTAAGTTTAGGGATAAAATTTTCATACAAATGAAAAATTGAATTTTTTAAATGTTAAAAAACATGGGGAAATAAAAATTAGGCTGAAAAAAATAACAACACTAACTTCATTTCCACTTACAATTTGAACCAGATTCAATGATGAACATTTTTAGAGAAAACAATTGAAGTTCAGTTCCTCCAGTTTTTTTTTTTTTTTATAAAATTCATGTATTTTCAATTCACAACAAGAAAATTGATAACTCTAAACAAGAAAACATACCTACACCCCCTGTTACAGCTCTGATGGAAATAGAGTTCAAAGCAAAGTCTGACCTAATTCAGTAAGTGTGAAATCAAGGAAATAGCGATGACCTACATTTTGTTATACAATATATTGGTGTTTCACTCCTAAGGAGGGACAATTTTGATAAATGCTTAACTTTTAGTATAAGAGTAATGTCATTAAAAGTAAAATCTGATCAATGTTAATTAAGTAGAAGATATATATAGGTCACAGTGACCCACATTTTGACATCACGCAATTGTTATGACTGGGGAATCCCCCCTTCTCAATCCTGGGGTGAGGCAAGAATACCTCACACCGAGTAAGGTGAGGATACACCTGTCCAGGGTAAGAGAATTATATGACACAGTCATTTCATTTGATATATCGTTTTAGTAACCCTCAAGATGGATCCACAAATTCGATGAACTGTGGACCTCTATTATTACGGTAGTTAAGCTACAGTTCATCATATAAAGTAAATGGAAAGTGAAACCAGTCAGTAAAGAGAAAATAGATGTATGTCACAGTTACCAGACCTACAACTGATATATTGCTGTGGTACTTCTCAAGATGTACCCAAATATGAAGTTTGAGAAATGTTGGACTTGCATTATTAGGGTTAATGAGCTAAAAATCAGAAATCTAGCCAAGACACTACACCGATGGATGGATGTACAGACTAATGGAAAAGACAAACAGTTAGTGCCCCCTTTATTATGTCGCTGGGCCCCAAGAAATACAGTGGGAGCCGATCTTTAAGTAAATTAATTTAAGAACTTATTGGGGATCATTGACCGACCTTGATGGATTTGTCACGGCCCGCAGTGCCGATCCAATTCCTATCTTCAGGATGCCAATCTATACTAAACACTGGGCCACTGTGTGCAGTAATCTGTTTCTGTACGCGGTCCGGCTGTCTCATATCCCAGATCTGAAATGCACAAAAACAAAGTCCAATGAACTCTCATCCATCTTGTCTCCGAAAGTTAAATCTCCTGTCCAGACAGAAACATTATTATATGTTTTAGGTTTTCTCCGAGTACACTTGTTTTTTTAACCATATTAAAACTCCCTGTGCGTTAATATATATCGTGGCCAACAAGAATACTTAATTTGAGTTTATAATCACCCCAACCAACATAAACGCCCCTTAACATTTTTCCCGGTCTGCAAGTCCCATTCTTTCAACTAAATTTACCAACTTAGATGAAATAGAATTAATTATGGCTACTTTTTAGGATCTTTTGAAATCATTCAAATTTTCCCAAATTGTTAGGCACCCAGCTCACATACAGTATGCTATGCAGACCCCAAAAATATGTGAACATAAAATGACTAACAATTGATTTGTGTTTTGTGCTTAAAAGATATGATTAACATTCATGATATAACAGAGGTCATTATTTTTTTCAACTTCTCGGCTGAGAGTCGAACCCGGGACCTCTGGCTTACTAGTCTTACACTTTACCAAATGAGCTCAAGAGAAATTCTCCCTAGCCGAGTCAGTAGGAAGCGGCTAGTATTTAACCAGGTTGACATACTCTGTCTCCAGAAAAGAACTCATCCCGAGTTTTTCAGGGGTCATAGCGGTTCTTGTGAAAGTATATCGCTAAGTGTATTTGTCAATATTACCCGGGTCCCTACGTGGGTGCCAATGTAACAGAGGTCATTATTTTTTCAATGCCTCCGCTAAGAGTCGGGACCTCCAGCTTACTAATCTTACGCTCTACCGAATGAGCTCAATAGAAATTCTCCCAAGCCAAGTCAGTAGGAAGCGGCTAGTATTTTACCAGTGTGACAATGAAATATTTTGAATTCATAACTGGCAAATTAATTTGAAGAATATAACATTTGAAATACATGTATACTTAATTTCCATTACTGAGTACATTGTATGAAAGTGCTAAGTTTGTGTGACTTTTCTATTTTATTAAATGTTAAAATTTTCACAATCATACCTGAATATTTCCATTTTCATCAGCAGCAGCGAAGTGGAAGTAGCTAAATACACTTGGACAGAACTGGACATCTCGGACACTGCTTCCAGACACAAATGTTGTAGTGACCGTCCGCTTTCTCACATCCTGTACACCATGAAAGCTATTTAATTCATCTTATTTTGTACAGCTCATTTTTCCACATAATTTCACCACACACCTATAAGATTGTCATTTTTTAAAAATTATATTTGTCCTGCAATATGTCATAAGCTCAAGGGGGAGAACACAACTCATCTAAGATCTTCTATAACGTTTCATTGATATCCATGTATTTTAATTGTTCTCAATTAATAAACTGATTATTAAATGGGTAAAAGTTACTCAAAGTGTATGTTATTTCCAACATTATGAGGTTATAACGGTACAGAAGTGTATGGCGATATGTGAATTTAACTTTGATATTCTTATTTTTTTTTACTCCTTAACTTTTTTCTTTTTATTGATACAGATATCTACAGATTTTCTATAATCACCAGAGATAGTGTGCAATTTCTCTTTGAACATGTTCAGTTGAAATTTTAAGTACATGCAATCAGAAAATTTATGCATATTGATATTATGAAACATTTAGTTAAATGATTTTTCCTCATTCATTTTTCATATCATGAAGGAATTCAATTCATTATAAGCAATTATTGAAATATGTACTTCAGTATTTTAAACTTGGATTAACCCTGTAGTGCACTGGAGTTAACATCATAGTGCACTGGAGTTAACATCGTTGTGCACTGGAGTTAACCCTGTAGTGCACTAGAGTTAACATCGTTGTGCACTGGAGTTAACATCGTTGTGCACTGGAGTTAACCCTGTAGTGCACTAGAGTTAACACTGTTGTGCACTGGAGTTAACACTGTTGTGCCCTAGAGTTAACATCGTTGTGCACTGGAGTTACCATCGTTGTGCACTGGAGTTAACATCGTTGTGCACTGGAGTTAACCCTGTAGTGCACTAGAGTTAACACTGTTGTGCACTGGAGTTAACACTGTTGTGCACTGGAGTTAACATCGTTGCGCACTGGAGTTAACACTGTTGTGCACTAGAGTTAACACTGTTGTGCACTGGAGTTAACACTGTTGTGCACTAGAGTTAACACTGTTGTGCACTGGAGTTAACACTGTTGTGCACTAGAGTTAACATCGTTGTGCACTGGAGTTAACATCGTTTGCACTGGAGTTAACCTCGTAGTGCATTGGAGTTAACATCGTTGTGCACTGGAGTTAACATCGTACTGCACTGGAGTTAACATCGTACTGCACTGGAGTTAACATCGTTGTGCACTGGAGTTAACCCTGTTGTGCACTAGAGTTAACACTGTTGTGCACTGGAGTTAACATCGTTGTGCACTGGAGTTAACCCTGTAGTGCACTGGAGTTTACATCGTTGTGCACTGGAGTTAACATTGTTGTGCACTGGAGTTAACATCGTTGTGCACTGGAGTTAACATCGTAGTGCACTGGAGTTAACATCGTAGTGCACTGGAGTTAACATCGTAGTGCACTGGAGTTTACATCGTTGTGCACTGGAGTTAACATCGTTGTGCACTGGAGTTAACACCGTTGTGTACTGGAGTTAACACTGTTATGCACTGGAGTTAACATCGTTGTGCACTGGAGTTGACATCGCTGTGCACTGGAGTTAACATCGTAGTGCACTGGAGTTCATATCGTTGTGCACTGGAGTTAACATCGTAGTGCACTGGAGTTAACACTGTTGTGCACTGGAGTTAACATCGCTGTGCACTGGAGTTTACCCTGTAGTGCACTGGAGTTAACACTGTTGTGCACTGGAGTTAACACCGTGATGCACTGGAGTTGACATCGTTGTGCACTGGAGTTGACATCGTTGTGCACTGGAGTTGACATTGTAGTGCACTGGAGTTAACACCATGATGCACTGGAGTTGACATCGTTGTGCACTGGAGTTGACATCGTTGTGCACTGGAGATAACACTGTTGTGCACTGGAGTTAACATCGCTGTGCACTGGAGTTAACCTTGTAGTGCACTGGAGTTAACACTGTTGTGCACTGGAGTTAACACCGTGATGCATTGGAGTTCACATTGTAGTGCACTGGAGTTCACATTGTAGTGCACTGGAGTTAATACTGTTGTGCACTGGAGTTCACTATAATGTTTTCTCTAGTGCACTACCTTGTTCACTACGTTTGACTACAAAGTGCACTAGATACCAAGTTAAACAATGTAAGAAATATGTGTTGTCTTACCATTTATCAAGATATCAAAGTATAAATTGAAATGTCACATCAACAATACTTACAAACAATTTCATTGATCCATCCTGTGAACCACTTAATAGCAGGTTTACCTCGTTCTCATGGAAACGTACACGGTTTACCGTACGATTATGGTCTGTGAACACGTAATCTGGAAATACATGAATTGCGATACATGTTTACTCTAATTTAAAACTTATATCATATTTTATCATTCAAGTTCACTTTGTATCATATCTTTTCTTTTTCTTAAACTTTATTTTGACATAACATGAAGTTGAAAGAAAATATATTGGCCTTTTTAACTCCATTTTTCCTTAACAAATTACTTTAATCATATTTTGATTACAATGAGTATTGGATTTGTTCAATTTGTTATTAAGATGTGTTAATTCAGAGATAGAGCATGATGGACTTGCAAATATCAATAAAGACCTTAAAAGACATTGTCTGGGCGAGAAGTCAGCATCACCTCACTACACCTGTACCTAACTCATAAACAAATAGCTCTGGTCCAAAACGTCCGACATTTGGAATGTGATAGATGAAATCGGCCAAAGTGTTTAATCATTGTTTGTTATTTTAGAAAAATATGGAAGAAAGCGGGAATGTAGTAAATATTTTGCAAGAAAACAATCAAGCCAATTCTACCATAAGGAATGAATTCTGTGTTTAAACACACAGATCCGGGGGATTTATAACCTACGTACCTTGTTTGGATTTGGTCGTCCTGTTGATGTCCCATACCACAACTGAACCATTGGTGGCTGCCGAAGCTAAAATGTTATCTGAAACAGATAAAGGAACGCTTCCATCATTATCCTGATCTACTGTTACAGGAAAACTGACCAGTTTAATCACAATAGAAAATATTTAATATATCTATTAAGTGTTAACTGTTAAACAAGAGGCCCATTGGGTCTGTCTCGCTCAACTATTTCTTTTTTACCTGAACATCATGAGCCCACTCTTCCTTCATGTTACACTATGGATTATTATGTTACAAGAATAGAGGATGGTTCATAGCACATTTGGTTGAGATACCTATATGTGCATTTAGTTATAGGGTGGGGATTTCAATCATTCCCATGATTAAGACCCTAGGGGTGGGGATTTCAATCCTTCCCATGATTAAGTCCCTAGGGTTGGGGATTTCAATCCTTCCCATGATTAAGTCCCTTGGGGTGGGGATTTCAATCCTTCCCATGATTGAGTCCCTTGGGGTGGGGATTTCAATCCTTCCCATGATTAAGTCCCTTGGGGTGGGGATTTCAATCCTTCCCATGATTAAGCCCCTAGGGGTGAGGATTTCAATCCTTCCCATGATTAAGTCCCTTGGGGTGGGGATTTCAATCCTTCCCATGATTGAGTCCCTTGGGGTGGGGATTTCAATCCTTCCCATGATTAAGTCCCTAGGGGTGGGGATTTCAATCCTTCCCATGATTGAGTACCTAGGGGTGGGGATTTCAATCCTTCCCTTGATTAAGTCCCTAGGGGTGGGGCAAGCACTTGATACTTATCCTTATGGTAGCATCATTGTGCTCATGTCTTTATGCTCAGCAAACAGTTATATGATTATAGGTTAGGAATCTCAACGAATTCCATGTTACAGCTCAATGCCTTAGTCCATAACCAGGAGACCAGACCCAGAGATAAGCCGGTTAGCATAAATGTCTTTCCATACCTAGTATTTGTACACATGATTAGGGATATTGATTGATTTCATATCATGACCCAGGGACAAGGTCCCCAGGAGTGGGGCTGGACCCAGGAGCCAATGCTGCTAGCATCATTGTGTTAACTTCTTCACGTCGAGCAATTGTTTGCATGGTTATATTTGACGGTGGGCTTAATACCAGACGTCAGCTTATTGTCCAGTAAATATGGTAAAATATTCTGGGCAGGATCATAAGGGGACCATTACTATATAACGTTATGCAAGATTTATTCTGGATAATGTTAGCGTGAAAATAAGATAATTACCATCATTTTGATTCCATGTGACATCCGATGCACTGAAATTGAGGTTGACGTTTCGTCCCACACGAAGATTCATTTTCTCCTCAAACCTCTCATCTTCGATGCCAAATATTTTGAAGACTTGAAAAGTATGTAAGAGAAAAATGATATAATGAATAGTTACAAAAAAATAAAAGTAATAAGAATATTCACTGTCAAATACAATAATAATAACAGACTTATTTTTGCCTTAACTACAGAATGATATTGAAAATTAAACAAAATAAACATCTAGAAAATATTTGTAAAACAGACATATGTCCCATCCTCAATACTCCTGGGATTATGTTCACTTTCGCGCTCTGCACCCCTGGAATATGTCATGACAAAATCTAAGGCTCAGCGTGCACCGCCTTGTGGATGAGACAAGAAGACTAGTTTGATCCTTTGATGTACATCAAAAGAATCTCACGGTAACGTAATGGTAAAATTGACTGGCTTTGAAGACGGGTGTTGCTTCTCTAGTAATCTTCAAAGGACAGGTATCAGCCTAGTGATTGGTCAGGTGTTTTTTTTACCCGAGAACAACCAAATAACTGGCAGCATGCCATCAATTTTGCTGACTTATTCCAGGCAATTCTAACCAAAATCAGAGAAGTGGAAAATATAGGCCATAGGGATCTTATAAAATGTTATTCTAATGACCATACAATATAATTGTTATTATCATAAAATATGATTGCTATTATAAAAGTGTTCATGTCATTTGATGGTGCTGTACTTGCTAGGAGATACAGTAGCTGTAATTTGATGACAATTAGACTAAAAATGTTTGAGAAATGGAGCTAACACATAGTGAAGCCAAAGTCGGTGAAAAGGAAAACATGGGTTGCAGTGATCTACTTGTAACAACATGGTGCAGTATTCCTGAAGATGTTTCCAGACATAAAGTTTGGTGACCGAGTCTAACACAAATATCCTTCAGAAACCATGCAATATCAAACTTGCACAGATCAAAGATATTATAGTTTACTGTTATGAGCAGAAAGCTTCATGTAAATTGAAGCAGTCCTTCAAGAGTTAATTTGTACGAAAACCGTTCGTACAGAAACTGATGACACAAATGGATAGATCCCTATACGTCACATTTGTTTCACATTTGTCACAATGAAGATGGTAGCAAAATCAGACACACGACACCACTTGCAGTTATAATGCTATGAATGCAACTTCGTTTTGGTTGGTTTATAATATATTGAATATGCAATGCAAAATGCAAAAATATAAATGACATTTCATTACAACGAATCTCGAATGAGGTATTCAAGTATTTATAGTCTTTTCAATCTAATCTTCTCGACTACAAAACAATACAAATTGCAATTGACTTAAATGTTACAAAAATTTGCTTCAAAAGGCATCGATACATCATCTGATTTACATGATACCTTACAGACTGAACAGGTATTGCTAATTACTGTATACCAGGAAATGTTTACTGCACTTTAACTTTCACCTTTTTCACCCTTCGTAACATGTGGGGTAATTAACATTACAGGGGACACTTGTAGATAACATAATATATACGTAGTACTTAATTAAATGCAAAGCGAAAATTTAATATTTGGCAAAAATAGATTACACAATCAAATGGTGAAAATTTGACTGGACAAAATAATCTCGGTATATAGTTTTATAACTTACCATTGCGGCCTGCAACCACAGCAAGAGAAGAGTCTCGATTGATAGCCAAGGCATTTACAGCTCCCTCACAATTGCAGTACATTGTCTTGACTACTGCTGGGTTGACTATATAAATTTATAACATTAAAATCAATATACTGTAATAGTTACATGAAAAGTGATTATAATAAGTACATATAAGTACAGACAAATGACCAAACAAGCAAATCATATTACAATATACATAATATAATTTTTGTCAACTGCAGAATATAACTATGTACTACAAATTAAGTATTATACCAATGGACCATATCATGTTTTATCAAAATTGACATTTCAATCTGTTATTCTTCCCAAATCAGGCAAATGTTCACATATGCATCATTTCATAATTTCATGATCAAATATAAATTTTAAGTACAATTTCTATCAAAGAGAACATTGAAAAATCATAAACACAACAATGCACATATATGTATACATATATCCTTTGAAAGATCTGTCAAAAGGAGTCATGACCCAGCATAATCTAAAACTCAATTACAGTATGTATGTAACACCTAATTACAGTGTATATGTTACGCCCAATAACAGTATATGTAGTACTCAATTACAGTGTGTATGTAACAACCAATTACAGTATGTATGTAACACCTAATTACAGTGTATATGTTACACCCAATAACAGTATATGTAGTACTCAATTACAATGTGTATGTAACACCCAATTACAGTATGTATGTAACACCTAATTACAGTGTATATGTTACACCCAATAACAGTGTATGTAATACTCAATTACAGTGTGTATGTAACACCCAATTACGGTGTGTTTGTAACACCCAATTACAGTGTGTATGTAACACCCAATTACAGTGTGTTTGTAACCCCCAATTACAGTGTGTATGTAACACCCAATTACAGTGTGTTTGTAACCCCCAATTACAGTGTGTATGTAACACCCAATTACAGTGTGTATGTTACACCAATTACAGTGTGTATGTTACACCCAATTACAGTGTGTATGTAGCAACCAATTATAGTGTGTATGCAACATCCAATTACAGTGGGTATGTAAAACACAATTACAGTGTGTCTGTAACACCCAATTACAGTGTATATATGTAATACCCAATTACAGTGTGTATGTAACACCTAATTACAGTGTATATGTTACACCCAATAACAGTATATGTAGTACTCAATTACAGTGTGTATGTAACAACCAATTACAGTATGTATGTAACACCTAATTACAGTGTATATGTTACGCCCAATAACAGTATATGTAGTACTCAATTACAGTGTGTATGTAAAACCCAATTACAGTATGTATGTAACACCTAATTACAGTGTATATGTTACGCCCAATAACAGTATATGTAGTACTCAATTACAGTGTGTATGTAAAACCCAATTACAGTATGTATGTAACACCTAATTACAGTGTATATGTTACGCCCAATAACAGTATATGTAGTACTCAATTACAGTGTGTATGTAACACCTAATTACAGTGTATATGTTACGCCCAATAACAGTATATGTAGTACTCAATTACAGTGTGTATGTAAAACCCAATTACAGTATGTATGTAACACCTAATTACAGTGTATATGTTACGCCCAATAACAGTATATGTAGTACTCAATTACAGTGTGTATGTAAAACCCAATTACAGTATGTATGTAACACCTAATTACAGTGTATATGTTACACCCAATAACAGTGTATGTAGTACTCAATTACAGTGTGTATGTAACACCTAATTACAGTGTGTATGTTACACTCAATATCAGCATTTATGTAAAACCTAATTACAGTATGTATGTAACACCTAATTACAGTGTGTATGCAACACCTATTTCTACAAATTTGTAACAATCAGTCAATGTGTATATATTTATAGCAACTTTTTAACATTATTTACAAATGTAACACACTCAATAACTGTATATGTACAAGTAATTGTGTATGTGTGTAAGTATATCATGTGTGTTTTATCTATACTATCTAAAAATGGTTTATATATCAATATAGTTATATATATGATGAGTACTTACGGTGCAAGTAGTGTATCTGTGTGTAACTAGTGTTTGTGTTTATGTTATATATTGTGTATATTTAGGAAAGTGAACATGTGTGTTAACTGATACTGTACAGTAGTGTAGAAGTATTATTGTGTATGTTTGTAATTGCTATACCTTTTCATATCCAAAATTTCTATCAATCCAGTCACAGTTCTTCAAACCTTAATTAATTTAAAAATCACTATTCCCAGAATTATTCATACTCTTTGATAGTAAATCTGTATCACCTATCCATCATAATTATAACCCTTATGTTAAATATTCAATATACCATTTGAGATCACATGCTGTAAACTATCTTTAATTGAATTGAACACTTCACATACAAAGCATTAACTTTCAGAAAACAAAACCAAAATCACTAGAGAAATAACAGAAGAACTGATTCAGAAAAAAAAGGAAGAAAAGTTGAAATAAAACATTGAAGATTAATACATACCACGGTCATGGACCGCTCGGGATACGTTATGCATCATACTCATGATCTGTGTTTTCTTCTGGATTATTTTATCCTTTACTACTAAAATGTGTGGTCCATGGTATCTACGTATCAGCTGCTCTTGATCTCATTATGTCAGCTACAATACAAAAACAATATTCAATCAACAATATATTTTTTATCAAATTGTTGCATTCTTTTGTAAATGTAAGGAAACTGGCCATAGCAGTCAGCATAAACGAACAAGCCCTCACAAAGATATCACATTTGGTTCAAATCATCCGATAAGTGTTTCTTGTAAATTAGCAAACTGACAGAGATAATAATTATAAATAAGAAAAAATATGTTCACTATTAATTCATGAAGTTTAAAAAAAAAATATATACTTATTTTCTTAATTGTTTTCTGATTTCGAAAACATATAAGTTTAAAGAATATCAATTATAAAGGAATGGTAAGGTAAATCTTTCATAACATCATCCATTTGAAAACAGATTTGCTGACGCTGTATTGAATATAGTTAAATATCAGGTGTGTATATGTGACCAGTGCACTCTGCCGATTGAGCTATATATATAGCTGTAAAGATCTATAATAGCTCTATTGATCCATCTGAAATAGGTCTTTTGAGCTATTTTAATGTGATTTTCTGTTTGAAGGAAAACGAAACAAAGTCGCTTTTAAAAAAAGATTTTATCATTAGGTTGATAACAAAAGACATTAAATACAAGTATTCTTTTTAAAACATAATGTAAAATAATCGGAAATTTTACATTTATGAAAAATGAAAATAAACATCTAAATGTATACTTTTTGTAGTCAACAATACCATAAACCTTATTGTTTTATGCGACTTTGCTTTGATTTAATGAAATTGAAATATGAGAAATTATAGCTCAATAGCTATATACAATGTAGGTCTTTACTTATAGCTCAATCAGCAGAGTGTACTGGACCTGATATACTATCACGGACTTAGATAGCAATCTAATTCATGACAGGCGCTTACACCGAGAACATTTTGACAGGTAATCACCTCCCTAACATCTTATCAAGATGACGCCATAATTAGTTGTTTCCATAGAACGGTCTCACTGTTTTCTTTATGCGACTGTCAGAGCGTGTCAACGACTGTTGACATGTGACATCCGATATTGCAACTAAATTACTAAAAAGGGCCGCCAAGCATTCTTACCAATATATCTTTCATATTCAATGTAAGGTAGGGTTGTTATCTGATAACCGAAAGGTTGTGTTAATTACATGCAATGATCAAAGACTGCATCGCGAGTTTATTTACAAGAAGAAAGTACTTCATCTTTAACCCTGTTTGTGAAGTACGTCACCAGAATTCGTGTATAAAATTGTTTCCGCTTCCGCTTCATGATCACCGAAACGTTTGAACAATATAGTGTTAAATCCAACTTAGTATCAAACATTTACATGATACACTCTAAAACTCCATTCGCGTTATAGATGCTAAAGTTGTGTTTTGAAAATGAGTTTTCAGCAAAGATCTCCGTTTCCACAGCAAGCCGGATATGGACAGAATAGTAGCAGTTCAAAACAGTCAAGTCCACAAAGCAATTTACAGGGGTGGGGTACACCTGCAAGGGGTTATTCTCCGAACCCCAGTCCGCGGGCCGACAGACAATTTCAATCGCCAGGTTCTGCGAAAAATCACAGTCCTAGGCATTTGAATTTCAGTTCTTCGAGTTATAATTCTCCTCCGTTTATGAATTCGTCAGGGTATTCCCACCCGTACGATAGGTATTCGTCCCCAGGTGATCCGAGGTTCAAAACGCCCCATTCTCCAAATATGTTCTCTCCCCCGGGTTCAAGAGGTCGAGGCGGTTACAGTGGCAGAAAGCATAATCAGAATTTCCACAGAAACTTTCATCAGGTACATAGAGTTTGCTCTTTAGTTCTGCTCTCTAATCATATGATATTATCTTTTGAAAAAAAATCGACAAATGCATATAATTTTCAGTAATTTTCATATAGTTACGTTGCACATCTGTCAAAATCACACGACAATTTTTGTGATCATTTGCTCTTTTTAGCTGTTCACCATAAAATTGAATCTCATTAAATAAGTTTACTTGTGATATTAAGTTTGAAACATTTCATATTCTAGGTAATAGTATTCATAGTTTCATACTAATGTATTTATGCCTGAATGTTATGTGTATATTTTTTATAGAATGTATATATATACTGATCATGATCAAATATTAATATATACTGATCATGATAAAATAATGCAGACTATCTTTAGGGAAATATGTGTGAGACATGGTATCCAGGTCCAGCTATACATAATATATGATTTTAAAACTGTTGAACAATTCAGAAGAATTTTTAAAGCTAGCTATAGCTATAAGCTATATTTTTTATCTGTACCATGTTCTGTCATCCCTTTTCACTTCCATGGATGGTTGACTGAGGGATTTCTATACACATCATGAATATAATTGTTTTCTAGATCTTTTTTCAAATATGCAAGACTAAAACCTCTTAAAATTGCAAAGTAAATTAACTTGCTTTCCAGAATCCGAGACAAGACCGTAATTGTAATCCGGGAGGCAGTGCCAATATTGAAGATTACTTCCATCCGAGTATGTTACACGATCCGTGGAAATTTAGTAGTCCCGTTCCTGTTACGCACACACCATCGCTGACAACATGATGAAAATCACCCTAAAAAAGTTCGGTTCAGGACCTAAAACAGTTTGGTTCAGGAAAATTTAGGGGAGAGTATCTGGTAACCTTAAAAAGACCCAATGCTTTGCCCCTTAACCTACCGTTCACTTCAGGTATAACATACATGTGCTCATTCACTTTCTGTAACATGCAAAATGTATGCGAACTAAGGCAGCAAGTTTTCCTACCTTATGAATGTGGCCATCCCATGCAACCATATGGCCAACAGATATTCACAATGGTAGGCGGTAAATAGAGGCAGTATAAGTTTACTTTGTATGCAGAACTGTGTGAACAAACGTGAAATGAATATCAATGGTATTGTTTAAAAAAAAAGCATGTATTGATTCTCTCAAACAACACGCAGTGCTGAGATAAATGTGTATAATGTACAGATGTGCAATTTGTACATATACATTCTTGTACATATACATATGGTATATACCATATATACATATGGATTTTATAGACAAATATTCATGCCATGATAAATTGTGAAGGTCTGAAATTAATGGATATTTCAGACTAGTGTTGTATTAAATAGACTAAGGATTCGGGAGCGATTAGAAAAAGGATTTTTTCCGAAAAATGAAATTTCTCCAGGGATGTATTGGCAGCTTTGCAAATTCGACACAGAAATTGAAAAAAAAACAAAGAAAATTGGTGTGAAATTTGTGTTTTATATACATTTGTACAACAAGACATTTGTCACTCAATTGTCGCCAAGACAGGCAGCGTTTTAATGAACAATGTTTTTTAGCATCATAGAGATTTTATTTCTGATAAACAGACTTTGCAGGGGATTGAATCAATTGATAATGTATTGTTGGTGTTAATGTGGAAAAACAACATTTTAATGTAATGGATATTTATTTAGTGACTAGTGAACATTAAATTGTCATTGATATTTATCAGGTAAATGATTAAGTTCAGCAGTATTTAAATGTCTGAGTTCTTGGTTCACATTTAAATTTTGAGTTTAAAATGAACATACATTAACATTACTTTCTATTGACAAAGTCAATTTTTTAATTAAGATATTCTTTTATTTTGATGTAACTTTTGTAAAACCAATGTAATTATCTAGTTCTGTCATGTATAGATTTGAAAAAAAAGTGAAACAGTATAAATTAACGAAATAAACTTTTTTAAATGTTTTCTATATTTGAAGTGTATGTTTTATATATTGTATTTGGTCTCATTCTATTCCTTATAATTATCTAATAATGATTTTGATTAGCAACGATCTAATAAACAGCCCAAGAAATCTATCAGTTTTGTGTCTGAAACAAGGGAAGTATTCCCCAAATTACAGTCGTTAATTATATAACCATACTGTGATAGTGTCACCTATGATTGTATCCGTAGATTGTATATTTTTCAATTATGGACTTTAGTTGAGGTCAATATGTTGTTTATCAGGTCGGTATATGGACCCGAGACAATGATATTGACAGAAGTCGCCATCCAAGGTCCATATTACTCTATCAGGTCCATATAACAATATATACACTGAGACAAAATTAAATTCCTGAACTTTTATATTACACATCATGTCATTATATACATGAGTCAGTATCCCCCGCTTTCACGGAAACGGGGGATATTAATTTGGGTTTGTCTGTCCGTATGTCTGGCACGCTTCGTTTCTGTGCAATAACTACAACAAATGTAAACTAATTTTCTTCAAGCTTGGTCACAAGGTTAAATGCTCAGCCAAGTTCGTTGACCACTTTCAGCGGACCCCATTTGGTGGAGTCATGGCCCCTTGAATAACGAAAAACATCATTATCTGCTGTGGTTCGTTTCTGTGCAATAACTACAACAAATGTTGACCGATTTTCTTCAAATTTGGTCAGAGGGTTAAATGCCTTAAGGACTGGGCTAATTACGATAACCACTTTCAGCGGACCCCATTTTGCGGAGTTATGGCCCCTTGAATAATGAAAAATGTCATTATATGTCACAATTCATTTCCGTGCAATAACTACAACAAATGTTGACCGATTTTCTACAAATTTGGTAACAGGGTTAAATGCCTTAAGGGCTTGACCAAGTTTTATGACTACTTTCAGCGAATTTTATTTGATGGAGTTATGGCCCCTTGAATAACGAAAAACATCATCTGCTGTTTCTGTTCATTAACTCTCGCAAATATGATCCGATTGTCTTCAAACTTAGTAACAGGGTTCAACGCATAAAGGGCTCGGCCATGTTTGACAACCACTTTAATCTAACTCCATTTGGCAGAGTTATGGCCCCTTGATTAACGAAAAATGTCATTACTGCAGTTTCCGCTTAATAACTCAAGCAAATATTATCCAAATTTCTCCAAACCTTATTACAATGTTTGTGTTCCTCTGTCTTTCCACCCATCTCGGGCACTCTTAGGTTTTCATGTGATAATTGCTGTAGATATTTTCAGATGTTTCAACCAAATTCTGTATGCACAACAATATCAGACTCGTGCTAAGTTTGCCAACCGATGTGATTTTTGCATATTTACAGATATTCAATGAGATATAGGGCTTTTTTTCCCCCCTTCAAGTTTCAAGCTATACATTATGTCTCAACAGCACGATACTCGCATGTTTAAACCTAACCTCAATAATGTTAACCTACAATTTGTCCTGCAAGTGGGGGATATAAATTCCACGAATTTGCTTGTAAGATATCTAGATTGTAATTAGAGGTAGCTTTCAGAACTAAATATCCAGATCTAACTTTAAAAACATGAGTTTGATTTGGTCACGTGCGAGACAAAAGCAGAACATGGGGGTAGATATGCTTTATAACATTTGTCCAAGAATTACCAGATAAGAATCAAGGAAAATGTGTCTTTCTGTAATATATACTGATAATGATAGGTCATGCCTAAAAAACAATCTTTCAACCATACATAATAGGTACAGAAATTTGAATGGCTGTTAGCCCAGGTCATTTATTTAAAGTTTGAAGACTTTGTCTTTAGGAAAATCAGTAATTAAAACAAGTATGATAGCTAATGTTGTCCTTAGCAAGCTATAGGCCAAATATGTATAACTCCAGGACACATGGTTTTGAAGACAAAAAATGGTGAAGTTTTAACATAATTGACCACATTGACCTTGAATGATGGTTAGTTTTACTATATGTTATTCACTCGACATAGTTGATTGCTCTTGCTTTGCCATTAAGTTCTGTAAAAAATATACTAGAAAATTTGGCCTTCATTAAATTAAAAGAAAATGTCAAGGACCAGATTGAGGTGGATGTCATGGACTTTCAGGGAAATTTTATACCTAGGTGGAAACTACAATGGTCTGGGTTGGGTGCTACAGTGTCTGTGCTATTCATATGCGTGTGAGGTGGCACTGAAGAATAGGATGAAGTAAGATGCATGTGCACTGTCCTACCTCAAAAACAGAACACCATTATAGCTCTAGCACAGGCGAAACAGGTAGAGGTGTTAAGCTAGGACTGGGTTGGTAGCTAATTAACACCTGATAAGGCAGCCCTTGCAAAATCCTAAACTTACATTGTGTTGATAGTATGGATTGTTTATCTGGGTTGTAATATAAATTAAAGAGCACTTGAGTGGCTTATTCTAGCTTAAACAGAGTTTAAACAAATTAAATGTTGTATTGATCAATGTGAATCTATCCTTTTCTTCAGCAGTGGTCTCCAAGAAACAATTCAACGGATGTTAAGTGGTAATTTAGACTTGGTTCATCAGTTAATGACATATTTAATTTGAAAGGTACACACAGGTATATTTTTTCTTTTGATGGGACAAATGTTGGCTTTCACGCTTATGTTAAGATTAAACTTGATATATTTGTTAAATATTAGAATATTAATCATATGATTAATCATTAGTGATTTAATTTTAGAATAAAAGATTAAGTAATTTCTGCAAAGTAGAGTTCTACCCGGAATGGCCTAGACTCGAGCTATTTTGAAAATCTCTACTCAAATAACTTTGAGTCCCAAGTAACTTAACTCTTATCTAGGTTTCAGGATTCATAGAAATCATTCATTCAGAGGTCTGTTGTTAGAGGAGGATCTTGTGCATTTGGTGGAATTGAACCACCACTGACTCCAGAGATTCAGTTTACCAGTAATGCTCTGTACAGATCAACCCTCCTAAATCTAAAGCTTGATAAACATATCATTAGAGGCATATTACCAACACCCGATCACCTCACCAACCCCATTAAATAATATTTTTATTAATCACCCCCAATAAAAATTTGAATAATTTTATTTTTGTCCTGTGACCAGTGAGTGCATGTCAATTTATTTTAATGTACATTGTATTTATTTTTTTACTAAAAATGAATATATAACCTAATTAATACAACTTTTTAAAAAGGTTGTATGTATAATAGGTATTTTTATTTGTGACATATCATTGAAAAGATTTTGTAGCACAATTTAATGTTGACATCAATGCAAGTCACTACATTACATGTGGCTAGATTTGAATGATGCAAGGGGAGATAATAATTATCAGACATGTATGGCAGATTAATTTTCTGGATAGTTATATCAGAAATGACAAGAAGCACTTGATGTATGGTTGTTGCAGACAGTGAAGTAATTATTATAAGATGCAACTCGAGAATGAAACTTATATGAATTCTTATAAATTGCTGCATTAATTAAAAAAAAAAATCTACTTGAAAATTACAAATGATGGCGCACGTTATACCTGTTTTTAACAATATTTATTTTCTGGCATCCCTAGGAATAGAATTAACATCAACATCAAATGCTGCGACAAATTTTGTCTAGAGTACAAGTGAATTATGTCTCCCGGGGTGTTTTTTTTAACAGTTTGACTAAATTTTGTAACACTTGACTTAAATTTTCACGGGAAAATATTTCAATAGCTTGTTGCATAACTGTGAGATTTTATTGACACAAATATTTATCCAATTTATATTTATTCCTTAAATATTGATCAATGCAATTTTTATATTGTCCCAAATCTCCAAAGTAACCTAGAAAACTATTTGTAATTGTTAAATAAATTCCTCAAACTGGCAATTTAAGTAAGTATTGAATATGCATATATGTAGTTATCATGTTTTGGGGTTTTAGTGTCTGATATATACTAATAAGAAATTTTGAGAAAATTATGCAGTAGTTATAAATATATAAAACAACAAATGCAATGAAATACTGAATATGAAATTTTGGAAAATATATCAAAATTTTAGTTTGCAGAAACCACCCATATTCTGCTGCAATAATTGACCACAACACTGCTGTAAGTAACAAAATCTAGAATCTAACTAGTACTACAAGCAACAGATTAGAGAAATCATTTGTTCTTTGCTGTAGAACAAAGGTTTGCTGCATTGTGTGTGAAGGAATCAGAATGACAATGAATAGCCTTAACCTCTAAAGAAAGAATGTTGCTTTTTATTTTACTGAATTGTACTAGGTTTTCAAAAAAGTAGAAATACTGAAGCTATGATATGGAGACAATCAAACCAATAAGATTTTGGAAGACTAACTCCTTGAATGACCTTGACCATTGACAGAATGTTACAAGAAAGTGTAGCTGTCTACTAAAACGGTGAGAAACAGTCATGAAGTAAAACTTAATTGATAGTACAACAGACAAGTATTATTCTCTTATGACCCTGTCTGAACTACCTTGA